CTATAAAGAGCAGAACGGTCTTCACGCTGAGCTCTATGAATACGAATTGGAATATGTTCAGCTTTATAGACCTTGGATAGGTTACGTAGCAAAACCATAGACGGAGGAAATAGTGAGATTCATAACAGTATTGGCTCTTTCTCTAGTCGTTGTGCCCATTCTCGCGAACGCGCAGGCTAGGCCAGAGTGCAATGGTCTTAAAGACTGTGCGCAGAAAGCTATGGTAGCCGGGTACCAATCAAAGCTAGCTTTAGAGCGAGCAGAAAAAAAACTCGCTACACAACGGAGTCGGATCGAAGCGCTAGAGAGTCGAGCAAATGCTACTGATGAGACTCTCGAGAAGCCGTTGTCAGGTGCCGTTTGTCGAATTCAGCGCGCTCAAAATAATCCGGTTACTCCACCTAGAGGGATTTCAACGAGCAGCTATGCAACAGCTTCTAGCGCTGCTTGTAATGCGGACGAAATATTGGTCGGTGGAGCTTGCGGTGTGGATACTGGGCAGGCTGGAACGGCCGCACAAATCGCGGGCAATCCACCGGGTGCATATAACTGTATTAAGAATTCCAATGCTGGCAACATCGATGCGGTTACCGCCTACGCAATTTGCTGCAAGTAAAAGAGTCTTTATTTGCACTTTCAAGTGGTACCGAAGCCGACTCAATATTGAACAGTCGGCGATAAACCCCATGCGAATTAGTTGACGCCTGAAGAGAGTCTGACGATGCGTGTTTGATCGGTCCTAGAGCCGTTATTATTAAGTATGATAAAGGACGTTATCCGTCACGATTCGAGGTCATTGAAAGAACGACATGAGAAAGCCATCGCCAAAGAATTTTCGATTGGTAGATTTAAGCAGGATAAGTGGGCAACCATCTTCAACTGATTGTTAGCTAGTAGCTAAATTCAAAAATTGGCGAGTCTTCAATCAGTAGAAAAAAGCTAAGTACACTGAACAGCTGGCATCACATACTTTCTTTCTTTAAGAATTTTCCGGACATCTTCGCCAATCAATATTTCGCAGCGGATTTTGTATGGCCATATCCTCTGGATCAAAGCGTCTACTGCGCCTTCGTTATGTAGATCAAATCTAAATGTGAGTACTAGTTTTTCAGTGAAATTCTTCTCGAAATACTTCCAACTCACATAGTTCTTTTTCTCTATCTGGGCCGTATATACCGGTCTGAAAGCCACTGACACCACCGCAGATTTTCCATTCTCTACGATATGAGGGAGGAAATCAGATATCTTGGTATAAGTGAAACCGTTCTGCACTAACTCAGGAAATTTTTCGCAGGCTTTTTCGGTCTCCTTAGGCCCTTTGTTAGAGTGGTCGTACTTAGTCAGCTTCCAGTCGGACGTGTATGACGAGTAGTAAGACCACGAACTTCCTGTTTTTGAGTTCTCCAAATCTAAGTCAATCCGATTGACGACTAAGCTACTACCTCCGTACCCTGAGAGGTAGAAAGGGAATTTGACAGCAACCTGGAGGGTTTCTTCGTTTGCATCTCGGTTGTAACAAGGCTGAAGAAAAAGGAATGCAGATTCAATATCGCCGCGCTCTAGTTCCGAGCCAAACAATATGGCGCCTAGCCAACCGGTGAGAGAGATAATTGATAGTATGAAAGCAGCTAATGAGGTGAAGGAGGTCTGTTTTTCAATTGAAAATGGGCCTACTTTCCATTCTTTATCTTTATCGTTGCTATTCACCTCATTCATTGGCTTGACGCACTTTCTTAAAATCATCCGCTAATTGAGGCCTCGCTTTTGCGCCAGGGGGTTTGACACAGTCGGGAGGGCATGTCCCTTCTGTCGACCTCTGAAGAACTTCCATCTTTTTGGGATCCGGACAGTCTGGTGGACAACCACCAAGTTTTTCTAGTTTTTGAACCTGTTTGAGCTGTGCCTCTGTCTCAGGACAGTCAGGCGGACATTTACCAGGATTTGCTGGTTTTTGAACCTGCTTGAGCTGTGCCTCTGTCTCTGGACAGTCAGGCGGACATTTACCAGGTTTGTTGTCAACGACCTGGACCAGTTTTATGAGCTCAGGACAATCGTCTGGGCACGTTCCTGGCGATGCAGCATTTAACGTAACGTGACTGCACAAAGCAATTATTCCTATCGCAAGAGACTTCAAAATCATTTTGTGTTCCCCCAAGATACGTTTTTGTACAAGTCAATTACAGGCTACCCCATTGACCGACTAATAGATGCCCCAAAACGGGTGATGCCTAACTATCAAGTTAGGTATAGCAAGTCGGTATCCCTAGTAG